GTTGTCTAAAACACAAACCGAACCTCTCAGCAAAACTAGTTTGGGCCACGCTTTAAAAGCCTGACCCTGAGAGAGAATACGGATTCACCGTTTCTGTTAAATGCCAAGTGGAGTTTAATTCTGAAGCTGTGACACGGAACCATAACACAGCTCGTCCGTATTCTGAGAGAAAGAATGGGGTCGTTGTGGTAACAAAAAAAGAAAATCAATGTTTACTGGGTTTGGAAAGCATCACTAAAGCTTCCCGGAGGTGAGCTGTATAAAAAGAAAGAATATTTTCTTCCTGTGACAGCTGAAGATTCTTTAATCTTCATTTGGTTAAAAAAACCAAATGTGTTCTTTGCATTTGATACGCTCCCCAAAGCAAACGTCCTTTCCTTCCATGCTCCCCGTTATCTCTACGCAGCAGCCCTCCCCTGTCCACCTCAGTACCGGGCCTTTTCCAGGGCAGAACCCAGGACCCCGCAAGGGAGGCTCCCGCCTCCATCTCCCTGTTAAGTAACTGCCCTCGCAGACCCAAGGCTTTCAGTGTGTGGGGGCCACAAATGACCAAACGGCCCACAGAGAGTTTCAATTAATCATTTTGAAACTGAACTGAGTTATTGACATTTACAAGTTGGTAGAATCCAAGTAAAAATCAAGATATCCAGCCTCATTTCAAAATGGCATGTGTCCGTGGAGGCAGGTGGTGGGTGCTCAGGGGCCACACCTTCCCGCGAGGCCTGTCGTCTCCAGTGGGGACCCCACTCCTGGGCAGGCCTTCGTGCCCTCCAGACATCTGAGTTTCAGCCCCTGGCCCCGCTCCTGCCACCTCAAAATCAGCCGTTTTCCTATTCCCTCCACGCGTGCCTCTCCCAGACGTAGTGATCGTGCGCGTCCCTTTCCTAAGGATCTTGCTTCTGCCACCCCGGCCATCAGTGTATCATTTCTGTCATGCTTGCCGAAGCCCCGGTCTGTGGGTACAGGGCCCTCGGAAGCCCGCACACAGGACGAGCCCGCCAGACGACGGGTCACATCACGCACGCGAGCCTCCCCGCCCCTCCCAGGCATGACAGGATCGCAGGGACGGATCCGCCGTGTGACACCAGTGCCAGGGAGGGGGACGGGGAGCCAAGGGCCCTGGTTATCAGAAAACTCTGCCCGACGGGGACAAGCACAGAGCATGGGCTACGCTTTCAGGGGAAACGTCACGTTTTCATTTTCTTGTCGTTGGCTTAGTCTTATAAAAAGGCTCACAGAATAAACGGAAGGATAAGTGATGCCCTTTAACAACCGTGGAGGCAAAACGTATGTAAAATTCGTTTTCCGTTTTTAAAAATAGGTGAGCAGCATGTAGAACGTTTAGTCTGCCCTGCCGAGCAATGGATGACGCCCTCTTTCAGATCAGGCTTCCTTACCACTTCAATAAGGAAGCAGAAACCACAGTAGAACTACCAGCTCCAGATTTAGCTTGGATTGGAACAGCATTGCTGGTTAAAAAATACCCACTGTACGAGGCTGGGGCTCCCTTGTTACCAAGTGCAACGCCGCTTCAAATCCACACTTGAAATGAACCTTGCAAACACCGGCCACCCACCCGTTGGTCAACAAAGCTGTTCATTCTCCCTGAGCTCCTTTAGTTGAGATGCATATAACCCCAGTCACTGACTAATTTAAAAGGCATATTTGTTTGTGAAGCAACAGCTCTGACAGTGTGTCAGGTCAGGTCTGATCACGGCTACAAAGAGAACAACCAAAACCACACGTGTCACATCCGCGTCTAGTGCAAGGTTTCATCAAAGTGTGTTAAAAAACGCAGCCTCCCCCCGCCCCCATGTGTAATGCAAAGCACCCGATTTTAAACATCTCTGTACAACGAATGTTAATGTTGGAACCAAAGTAAATCTGCGCCTTAACTGCGCGAGCTGCAGGGTCGTGTCTGAGAGCTCACAGGAGGGGGGTCGCCAGCAGAGGTGACTTGTCGGGACAGTTACCTGCAGATAGGAGAAGGACCAGAACCTTACAAGAAGCTCTGTGAAGGGCTGGCCGAGTGGCTCAGTTGGTTAAGAACTTGCTCAAGAGTTTGAGCAATAGCAGTTGGAGTCCTGGCCCGAGCTGAGCAGCTGCTGAGCTGCCAACAGGTGGCAGGATGGCTCAGCTAATAAAAAAAATAAATAAATAAAGCAGCTCTGTGAATTCGGCCTCCCCAGAGGCTCTTGTGCTGGCGTTCAGCTGGACACACCTGTGTGCCAGTGGCTGCCACCCAGACACGCACCGGGAAAGTCTCTGTGCTCTGAAATCGAGCTGCACTGACATTGTGTTTGGGGAGATGAGAATAAAACGGTTTTGCCAGGGTAGGGGCCCTATGTTCCGTCCTAAAGCTCGGCCAGTGCTGAAGACAGGAAGCCTTTGTTTAAAGAATCAGCAGGTAGCTACCGTGAGCCCTTCAGAGTCCGGTGTCATGTTGGTTCCAGGCGTTACTGTCAAAAGGTGTTAACAGTACGCATGCCTTTTGCTGGGCCCTAACAGACAAGCCCTGGCCTTACGTTGTCCCTTCAGCCTGTTCCCCAGCTGAGCCCGTGCGCCTGTGCAGGGCTGGCCGGTCCCTGACCACCTCTGCACCCCGCCCCCGCCCCGAAGCCCCACCACCGTGAGGCTGGCTTCCGTCTGGTCTGCGCAACCGTGTGATACCCAGGTCATGAAAAGAGCTGACCCATGATTGTATTAAAGGAAAGCAAAGGCAGTCGGGGATGAAACCTCGGCTACAGGAAATTTGGAAAAACTGAATTTTCAAGCATTTGTGTTGACTGTAATTTCTAAGCATAAATCCCTATGTTTCTGAATATAACATGTGCTTCCATACAGACGACGGGGAGTAGAACCTAGTTTTCACGTCCAAAGACGTCAAGAACAAAGGCTGGGCCTGAGATGTGCATTCACCACCTACCGGGCGTAGGTGGGAGCAAGGCCTCTCGTGGTGACAGCGGCGTCCCCTCTGGCCGTGTGCCCTGCACACCGCTCCACCTGTGTACACGCCATTCAGCCTGTCGTGCCTCTGAGAGCAGCAGTTACTTAGCAGCTCTTGTCTGGGGGAGAAAACAGAGCTCGGAGACTCAGGCCACGGCCCCACGCCTGCACGTGGTCCCGAAGGGGCTCCCATGCAGGCAGACACGTGAGGGCACATCCTTGGAACCCTGGCACCTGGCAAACAGGGAACCCTTCAACACACGTCCTGGGACGTCCTGGCACACAGGTGTGTCCCAGGTACCTCCACTGTGCCCCCCGGCAGCTGCACTGACTTTTATTTCCCAATCCATGTCTATACCCTGCCTGCTTTGTCCACTTGATTATGAGTGATCAGATATAGAACACCAGTAGATGTTCTGGAAACACAGGCTTATGTGTGAAGCGTGCCGTTTTAGAAATCAGAAATCTCAGCATCTGAGCGGTGACACGACTGGCTCAGGGTCACCACACTCAGTGGCAGTAGCGGCAGAATACAAGTCAGTCCCCTGTTTCCTGAGAGTCCCTTGTCTGGGTGGCGTCCCGTGTGGTCACAGCAGACACTGTGTGTCACACGGGGAGTCCACTGGTTCTGAGAGGGAATGCTGCGAGCGGACGGAAACACGCAAGTCGCAGACCGAGGGGGACGCACACGAAAGCCACCCCAGACATGCGGGGGCCAGGGGCGAACCCCTCCTCACCTGGGGGTCGGAGAACAGCAGTCCTGTGACTTCATGCTTCACCATGGCCGCGTTCCCCGGGATGTCCCTGGCCAAGACTGGCACTTCCAGGTCCATCGCCTGCAGGGCGGAGAGAGGACACAGGTGGGCGAGCGTAGTCAGAGCATTTCTGGCCAATGAGCCAGTTCGTGGGCAGCTTCTCCTGCTACCTGGGCCTCTGGCACCTCCTAGAAAGGGACAGCTTGACAAAATGACATCCCAGTCGAAACACTGGGTTTTTCAAATGATGCACTGGAGTTTGATCATTTACCACATTTGCCAAGTTCTGGCAAACGACCCACTGTAACCGTTTTCTGACATAATGACTGCCCTGCCACAAGGAACCCCCACCTCCCTTCTCCAAATGTCCCTCTGACACTCCTTCGGTGACAGTTCGGAGTCTCTATTTTCAGTTACCACCGTTACCTTCCCTGGTGTGACTTCCAGCACGAGAGGCGGGAATGCCACAAGGACCAAACGTCCCTCTGGCATACGGACAGAACAGGAAGGAACATGATTTATCATCCCGATTATCCGCCAAGCTGGCTTTCCATTCCCAGAGATCTGGGATGGGCACGTGGCACCACGTAGCTGGGCACAGCCTGGCATTGAGACCTCAGAAAGGTGCCCGACAGCGCAACAGGCAGCATTGGCCTCACCTGCCTGGGACGGTGGCATCTTCCTGGCTCGTTTCCTACAGACCAGGAGAGCCGAACCTACAAGAGGCAGGGTTAGGCCAGCTCCTCCGAGGTCTCCGTCACCATCCTGCATTGAGCCAACCCCGCTCTCCTGCAGCAGGGGCCTTTCAGCAGCTCACTGACGCCCCTTCACAGCTCGGTGTCGGGGGGGCAGGACTGCTTGGCAGTCTCAGCAAACCAGTAGTCTGCCTCTGACCACCCACAGGTATGTTCAGGAAATAAGATTCTGCTTCCTCGTAAGAGAAGTGTGGCCGTGAAGGGGTCGTGACGTCGGTTTTCAGAAATTTAAGGTGACCCAAATCGAGCCACCTGATATAGCGCAGTGGGACGCCCGATGACACCAAAAGGACTTTGTATAGCCACCAACCCCCAAGTGCCCAGAGCAGTGCATGTCACGCAGTAGGTGCCCCATGGATGCGAGTGGAGCTGGTACTATGGAAGCTTCTGTACTGGAATTCATTCTGAGCCTGAGTTCTTCACCCTGGGGCCACCTTATTATTAGCGCTTATCTAGGTAGGCTCACCTGGTCTTCCGGTGCTGTCTCACCTACATCTGCCAGGATGCTGACTTGAAGATCCAGGCCCCAGATAATGAAGAAGGGAGCTGGGAACATGGCCTTCTCTGCCGCCCCCCACCCCCACCCCACTCTGTTGCCACCACCAGGGGACGAAGTAGAACTGACTGGACACGAGCCACCCGCCTTCCTGCTCAGCCCCCGCTGCCAGCCGCCTCCCCCTCAGCCGGGCTCTCCAGTTGCCGCTTTGTCACCACAGAATGGCGCTATGTCACAATACTCCACTTCTGTCTGGAGTCTGAAGACTGTCTCACGCCCAGGAGCGGGCAGCTGGGTGGCCCAGGCGAAGTTTCCGGAAATGGCCACATCTTACTATGAGGGTCGCAAGGGCCTCACAAACTCACTGGCCGGGCCACCTGGCCTCTGACACGGCGCAGGCGTGTCTGGTTTTAGGCCGAGAGCACGGCCTGGGCTTGAGCGGAGACCTTGGCCTTGCTGTCTCCGCCCTCGGCTACCAGAGTGGTGTCAGCCTCGCTGCGCAGCCCAGAGAGTCGGAGTGACCTGGGGTGGGGATCAGGCATTTGTGACGGACCCTCGGATGCGTCTGATGCACAGCCAGGGCTGAGAGGGCCCCAGGCGGCAGGTGCGCTGACACAGGACGCTGGTCTTCTGGGCCCCACTTTTATCATCGGGGAGTGAACAGCTCAACTTTGCATGGAAAGTGAAAATCCAGAGGTCGTCTGCGCTGTAAGGTCGTGATGTGATTCCAGTGACAACTTACAGGCGCGTGCCATCCGATGGCTTCTTTTGGAGGTCGTTGGCTCATCCGACTAGCACGACACACTGTGATCCCATTTCTAAGCCTTTGTCAAGCAACGGCGGAGCCCTCCACATGGGTGACACCTGGGAGGGCATCGCCTCTGTCCCCCGTCGCATCTCAGAGCAGAGGCTCAGAAAGGGGCTGGCCGCACCTCGGGCCACACGCTGAGCTGTTCTCGCTTGACGCTGTTCCAGGCGGCCTCGCAGCATTTTCAAATCCGAGTGGTGCATTTATCCACCACTTGGGGTGAAGCCCACCCAGTTCGCTGCTGGAGAACATGGCAGACGCACAGGCTGAGAGGCGATACCTACAGACACAGATATTGAGATGGAGGTAAAGATACAAGGGTGGGTCTGGCAGCTGGTGACGGGGATTCGCAGCACTGGCCAGCCCCAAGGGACGAGAGTCCACGGCCCCATCTCAGGGAAAAAAGATCCTGTCATCCCTCCCGTTGTGTAGACATTTGTGTATCAGCTCAGTCAGCACTCATCACACAGGTAAGACCACCCACCACTGAGACCTGTCCATTGTCACTCATTCCACAAACACTTATGATCAGCCTACAAGGCAGAGCCAGGGGCTTAGGTGCTGGGACCAGCTGGTCAGCGGGGAGTTGCATGGTCTTCATAGTTGGGCTTTGCTCAGTCCTGTCACTATTTATTGATGGTTGACGGAGCTGAGCCAGACGTTTCGGGAAGGACCCAACCAAGGATGCAGAGGGCGCACTCGTCTTCGAGAAGATAAAATACAAGGTGGGACGTGAAGTTGGGAAGCGGTTGGAGGGAGAAGACACTTAGATGTACTCCGATGGCTGTGTGTTCACAGGAAGCCAATTTTGAAGGCACCTCTTGACAAACATACTGTCTTTTGGCAAGAAGACGTCGTCGTAAGCAAGAGCGGGTGTCAGAGAGGCGTCTGACACCCAGCTGTCTGCAGTCAGCTGATTCCCCACCCACCTCGCCGCCGCCCCATCCCCGTGAGCTCCTCAGTCTTTTATCAGGTTCATAGTCAACCTTTTCCAGAACCTCATTGAGTCTCCAAAGACGCCGCATGCACTCTGCAGGGCAGAGCAGCCTTAAAAAAACAACAAAAAAAACCAAAAAACAAAACATCAAAAAATGCAGCCTCCCAGGCTACAGGCCAAAAGAGTAATGCAGGCTCTGGAAAGGGGGTAGCCCGTCCCCTGTGTGTGGTGTTCTCGGGTCAGAGGGCTTGTGAGGTCCACCCCAGGTAGAAAACGCTGCGTCCAGATCTTCTCGCGGAGGTTGGCTTGTGAGTTTACAGCCTCGATGGGAGCATGTCAGCCTGGTGACCGGGGCCCGCTGTGGGGATGTGGTAAGGCTGGGTGACCCTCGATTACATCCATATGTGCATTCAGATCTTACATCGTTGGGGTGTTTCTCCGCAGGGATGCCCCTAGCGTTCTGGGTACAGTTCTCTGATTCTTGAAAAGTACTTCACTTTCCTGCAGCCCCCCCCCCCGCCAAACTAAATTTGAGGCGCATCACACCCTTCAAATGGTGACACCTCAAAGGACCCTTCAGTTTTCAAGGTGGGAGGGGCACGTACTGCCAGACACACACACACACACACCTGGAAACTAGCCAAGGTCACATGACACAGTCACAGGTGTCCTTGAAAAGCCCTTAAACGAATCTTCAACCTCTAGGGCCTGGACCTGGAAGCTAAGAGCCCAGAATTACCTTTTTACTGCTTTTTGCTTTAGAATGGGTCTTCCTAACCCCTGGGCAGTGGAAATTGACCTGGAGAGCAGTGTGCGTGTGTGCGCGTGTATATGTGTGTGTGTGTGTGTGCGCGCGTGTGTGTGTGTGTGTGTGTGTATGTATGCGTGCACATGTATGCATGTGTGTATTCTGGGAATGGGAGGAGAGCCTAATGAGAAAGACCCAGATGAGAAAATACTTTTTTTGTATTCTGTTCATTTAATTCTGTGCCGGATTCGAATCCACAATAAGCCCAAACTTGAAACAACAGAACAACAGTAGTGGGAGTATGCATCCAGCTAGAGTTTTGGAGTTTATCTAGTTAGTATGTGTTTTCGCAGACGGGATTTTTGTCAGCTTCCATGACAAAACAAAGCTAATTCTGGAAGGTCAGAGGAACCCTCCCTTGAAAAGCGATAGGCGTTCATTCTGTGATCAGCCGCCCAGGCTATCTGAATCGATGCTAATGAAACACACCCGACCCATTCCTCTAAAATCAGTCCCATTCAAAACCCTCAGCCCAAAGGTTATTTTGGAGTTTTCAAATGGAACATGACAACATTTTAAGGCAGTCAGAACTGCTAACAGCTGCCTTTCCTTTGAAGTAAATGAGATTTGACAGCAAGTCATCTGCAGTGAAATGCTGTGTGTGCGAGTTAGAAAGTTATTCCCGAATTCCACTTTACCTTTTCTTAAGGAGTTGGGGGTGGGGGGGGGATGTGTATTTACGGAGAAAGGATAACTCAGCAGCAGCTCCAGGACTGGTACGGCAACAATGCACATTTTTAATGCTAATGTGACTGGAGCTGGAGCTGCATTTAAACCACAGAGGAGATTAATGCTAATCATTAAGCTCAGACCGAAGTATTGACATCTGGTGGAGATGAACACGTTACAGATCCACGAGACATGCTTGGGAAGCATCCCCACGCCGGAATCAATCACGGGCGTGGGTGGGTGGCCTCTCCCCCCCACGCCCACTCTTTTTTGTGTTTTGTTTTTTTAAATGAGGCCACACAGGAAAATATCAGACCTACAACATCAGTCATTTCTTAAATGTAGGGAGGAATTTTTTTTTTTTCCTGTTTCAGTTACCATGTTCTCTGACACACTGAGGTTCGCGAATTGTATGTTTTTGGCCAGTAAATTCAGTAATTTCAACCAGTGTCCAAAGGAATCAGTGGATGTTACAGATTCTTACGACACAGGAATAACATCACTCTAAGCAGACACTGGAAGAAGAGCGTGGAGGGAGAGAGAAAACGCAGCCCGTGGCCACACGCGTGCTCTCCTCTGCAGGTTGATCATGTGCTAATCAGTCAGGGCTTATGCCGTGTCCGTCGTGGGCGATGCAGGTGTCAAGAACTAGGAAATATGAATGCTGCTGCCTGCAATGCCATGATACGGAGAAAACCCAGTCCCGAATGCTGGCAGCGGCAGGAATGAACAGAGTGCCCCCTTCACGGACGCCACTCAAAAGGAGCCCAAATGCAATGAACTAACAACAAAATAAGAGAAAGGGAACCTCTTTCGTGTTAGGTGCACACTGGTGAGTGCCTCGAGTCACTTGAGTGAAGCAGCTAAGATACTCGGGTAAAATACCCCGTCCCCTAAAACACTCCAGCGAGAAGAGGCGGCGAGGGGCTGCGAGGCTGGATGGAGCCCTACAGGAGAGCTGACAGTCCAGCCAGAGCCCCAGGATTTCGGTGGCAGGGGCTTTTTATTCAAGCCTCTCCCTGCAAAACACACAACTCGGGGACGGACCAGAGCTGTGCGGGAACGTGCACATTTAGCCCCAGCAGACTAGCGATTTGATAGAGCTGAATGCCAGGTGGACAGAGGAGATCTACCCCCCTACTCCCTGCCCCCCCATCTGCATCTCTAAGTACTCCCCTCCCACCCCTTCTCCCCTAACTCTGGATTAGAGAACACACTGAAGACAGCGGGGAGAAACCAAGAAAAAGGAGGCTTCTTGTGGAAACACACCTCCACCCCTTTTCCCGTTCCAACTTTCAAAACCTCAGCGTAGGTCCCACAGAGAACCTAGGAACTACCTTTGAGTGCCCAGGGAAATGTGACTTGGCTTTTTCCAAGCTCTGACACGTGCAGAGCTCTGGACAAAGATGTCACCTCCATTGATAAGAAGAGGGGTGATGGACAGTTGGCTGCTTGCTCACGCAGCGCCCGGTTCCGTCATTACCTCCAGGATAGCAGCGGACATGCCTTCGGACACAGAGCTGTTCACCAGTGCAAAGCAGTTCTTCACCAGCGCGTGCAGGTCATCCTGAGGCATCTCGGGGATCAGCCGCACCCCTGTGCTCCTGGAACAATACAGCAGGGGACCTTACAGGAGGGGCCGGGAGAGGGAGAGGCGACAGGTGCGGAGGAGTCCCCTATGTCACCAGGAAGCGTTACTGACCAAGGGTTCAACACAAAAACCAATGCTGGGCTGAGAAGCTATTTCCCATCCCTCATACGGGAGGGAGAGAGGCAGCCTGCTAACGTATCTGTTGTCGTTGGAATACATGTGACAAAGGAGACGCCTCAGACACTGGAAGTCGGAGGTAAGGTTTTTGCCATTTTCTCTCTAAGATTTAGAGAACAACCCTTTTCTAATAATTCCAGCCTTTTGCAAAATAATTTTTTAAAGATCCCAATAGACCATAATAGACATATAATAAATAGAAAGAGAAATACTAAAATAGAATAAGGTAACAAGTGCCCACGTTCCTGCCACCCACAGGTGACAACATTTTGTCCTGTAGCTTTTGCCCTTTATCATTTTGTCATCCAGCAAGACTGATTCTTCTCCGACCCCACCCCTCCCATGAGTTGGATACATTAACTGATTATGCTTTTACATCCGTGCTTTCTGTATCTCTGAGCAATGTAAGGACACCTGGCTGAATATGGGGATACAATCCGCACCCCCGGTCCCCTTTGTGATGGGGTGGCCAGCACGGTGGGGTGGAATCCTGGGGTCCATGAGGAATCACCTCAAGGGAGGTTGGCCAGTCGTCTGGCCCTCACCCCGGGCCTGTCCCCCCACTGAAAATGCAGAAGGCGATGGGTGGCGCTCGCAGCCACTTGTCACCTTGAGGGTAGAAGCTACAGGTGAAGGACAGCAGGACAGAGACAGGAGCCCAAGGCTGCGAGTCCTGGACCAACCACATCGGGTTTTCATGTGAGCAATGAAGCCTCAGCGTGTTTAAGCCAGAGTGGGCGGGGTCTCTGATCCGGGCAGACAAATGCAGAGTACCACCAATACTCCGACAAATTGCTCTCCAAGGAGGGGGTGGCAGTTCTCACCCTCACCAGCAGAGTAGGAGAGGGGTACAGCTCCCCCAACTCTACCAAACCCTGGATACGGTCTTCTCTGTTTGTGCCAATGTGACCGGTGCACATCGTCCTCCCAGCGTGGCTTTCACTGGCCTGTCCCTGAACTAGCGAGGCTGGGCATCCCTGCCCAGAGGTGTCAGCTCTGCCACCACTCACCAGGGAGCTGCTATGCTCCCAGGATATCAGCATCCTCGCCTGTAAACGGGAAGGTAACAGTGCCCGGGGGCTCACAGGACCATTGGAAGGATAAGTGAGGAATTATCTATAAAGAGCTGGGACCGAGCCCGGGACACGCACACTGCTGCCTGGACCTGGGGGTGAGACGATAGACTTGCTACTCAGCTTCTCACCTGCAGAAGACCCCTCTCCCCCGAGCTCACCTCTTCACTTTGGCTTTCACTTCCCTCGTATACACTGGATCCACCTGAAAAGAGACCGATAGATTTTAGGAAATGCCTGCAGTGAGCCCAAGTCACAGAAGACTCGCATATGATGGTGACAGCCCCAGATTCGACAGTTCAGAAAGGGGAGAAAAGCCAAGTCAGGTGGAACAGAATGCCCCTGCGTGCGCTGTTAGGTACTGGTAACTAGGAAAACGGGACTTGACAGAGGGTCCGAAACAAGCCCGTGGGCACTCCTGACGGGTGCCTGCTCTGTGACCCCGGAGTGGCAGGGCCGGCGCCCTCTGCCCAACATGGGCCTGTCAGCACAGCAGCACTGACAGCCGTGGGATGACCTGGCAGCTCTTCAGAGATAGGTCTGCCAGATGCATGACAGTGGACGCATTCTGTCGCAAAACCTTTGAGGCAGAATGGGTTAGAGCCCTTAGGAGATCAAAGGACAGAATTCAAACGTTATTTTTTTACCAGGGAGCCTGCCCAGAAACACAATTTTTGAGCCAAGGGCGTGTCCATCAACTGATGTGTGGATAAAGACTGTGGCCCGTCCACACGGGGGAGTATTACATGGCCATGAAAAGGGTCAAAGCTCTGACACTCGCTCACCACGGATGAACCCTGAAAACACGATGCTGAGTGAAAAAGGCCAAATACAAAAGGGCCACGTATTATGTGACTCCCTTTTTTTTTTTTTTTAATGAAGTGTCCAGAATAGACAATTCCATAGAGAAAGAAAGTAGATTTGTGGTTGCCAGAGACTGAGACTGGGGGGCTGGAGAGAATGGGGGTGACGGCTCACAGGTGTGAGGTGTTTTTGGGGGGGTGATGAAAATGTTCCAGAATTGGGTAGGGGTGATGGTTGTAAAACTTTGTGAAGATACTAACAAGAAAACCCCACTGGATTATGTATTGGGTTGTCGGAAAAGTCATGATGTATTTTGCAACGAAAAACAGAGAAAAAAGACGTCATAACTTTTCCAACAACCCAGTATTTTAAAGTGGCGATTTCTATGGCACATGAATTACATCTCAACTACAAAAAAAAGCCAAGTGCAGCTTCCTCACTACCCACGACCTCAGCGCCCTGAGTGGGCTGTACTTCCATTTCACATCTGGAGGGACTACATCCTTGGGGACGGGCACTGTACGTGTCCCACCGCCTCTCTGGTGATTAACATGTTTTTTGAACTGATGCAACAACTAACAGCAGTGTTTTCAAGCTGACCTGCTGTGACAGGATCTTTTACTCCACGTGTTTTTCAGCAAACTCCTGTGTAGACGCACAGGGGCCGCAGACAAGGGGGGGCTCTGGGACAGACACCAGGCTCGGACCCCCACCCCCCGCCCATGCCGCTCACAGCAGTGGACCTCGCTGCCTCGGTTTCCTCATTGTGCAGAAGAGGACCGTAACAGCACCTTGCGAGAATCAGCGGGTTACAACCCATCAGCGCTTACAGCGGCGCCTGTGACACGGCGATTTCTCTATGAGCAGAAGGAGGAAAGAGATATCTGAGTGTGCCTGGGAGAACGGGCGGCAGCCCGCACCACGGCTCCCAGCGTGTCTGTCGGCCTTGCCCCAGATGTGCAGTGTGCAGTGGCAATGCCACTTCTCAAGGCTCCAGATGGGAGGTAGAGAGCGTGCTGGAATGCTTGACGGCAGTCGCTGTGTCACAGGGACCAGCCAGAAAGCAAAGCACAGTGAGTCAGCTTGCTGTGACCTCCTCCCAGGTACGGCCACTTACTAAGGCGACCTCAGGGGACACTTTTTCGGGTATCCCAGGGGCCCTACAAGCCTCTTTAACATGAGGCTGCCAGATACACTTATCATTTCTGGTTCATCCAACTGCAGCAAAACAACCAAGCGGCTGGTTTTGCCCTGTACTCCCCGCCATCCCCCCCTCCCCCGTGTTATTAACGATGAATACAATTTAAAAAGAAATGACAGAATGTTCTTCAATTTATGCAAGTGTAACACAGAGTTTGAAACGCTGCTTCAAAGTTCCAGGCAGAGGAGGTGTGAACACGTTTCATGAGGACGCTGTCGTCCTCTTACTTCTGATGAGCTGGGAGTGAAGACGGATTCGATTGCTATTCTCATTCACACTTTGCCAGGAGCTGTTAGGAATGACAAACCCAGTCTTGTGACGAATGTGACAAACATCCCTATAGCTCATCATGCTAACGGAAACCATTCTGTGTTCTAGAAATTTCATTTCAGTGTGTGCGTGTGTGTGTGTGTCTGTGTAACCCCAAACCCTTCAGATTACTGGTGTGACTGACATGTAGCCCAAGAAACCGGCAATGCTAAGTTCATTCATGTCCCTGAGAACACTGTGTCACTTGGAAGGCTAACACTGCAAATTTGGATGTATAAAGAAAACTGAAATTATTCCTAGAAAGTATGTTAAAGCTTAATGTATTTTAATAGCAAACTTACAGGAACAGCGCAGAAGACAGACGATATTAGAAACAGACCCTTACATGCAGCACAAATCAGAGAAGTGCAGAGAGTGGCGGGGTCAGCATGTGACAAAAATGCTGCAGCGGGGGAGGGGTTACCAAGCACAAACCGGCAGTTACACAACAGCCCTGGGATGTAAGGCACAGCACAGGGAGTGTGGGCAGTAACGACCTGCTAACTGTGTAATGCCAGGCAGGTCCTAGTCTTACAGGGGGAACACTTCATAAGTTATATAAACGTCCAACCACTATGCCGTACACCTGACACTGATCTAATACTTAACATCAACTGTAATGGGAAAAAAAAAAATTTAAAAAGGAATTTAAAAAATGCTGCAAACACCATTTTGTTGACATCAGTAAGAAACTTGCTTTTTTTTAAAGAAACTCCAAATGCTGGCATTTCCCAGAAAAATGTAACAGGGCTTGTTTACGATTATTGCGAAAGTCAGCAGCCGAAAAACTCAATCGCTGAAACCTTTGGACCTGCACTAATACGTTAAGTCTCTGCTTTCGTTTTAAAAAGTCACATACAAATGAAAACAGAAAAATGGCCAATGCCTGCCCTCTGCTTCCTGTTTCCACTCGTACTCAGTTGCGCAAGAGCCTCGGCATAGTGACCTCCTTGCATAGCCTTCTCCCTCAGTGGAACTGGCCGGCTAGAGGCTGTGTGGGGGAGCAGAGGGACGTGGGGGACAGAGGGATGCGTGGAGGGGATGGAGGGACATCTGGAGGGGACAGAGGGACATGGAGGGGGGACAGAGGGACGTGGGGGGGAGACAGAGGGACGCCTGGGGGATGGAAGAATGCGTGGAGATGATGGAGGGACGTGTGGGGGGTGGAGGGACATGTGGAGGGGACAGAGGGACGCGCGGGGGCTGCAGGCCAGCTCTAGTCCTAGTAAGATGGGTTGGTTGTCTGTGGCCACCGGTACCGATGGCGTTCTTTCCGCTCACGCCTGGCCAAGCTGTGCAAAGTCCGATTCATGCATTACCTCGTTCCTAACCAGCAATCCTGTTAAAATTACCCCAACCTTAGGCAAGGGGACCCTAACCCTCAGACAGCTGGTGTAACTTGGCCAAGTTCACACAGCGAGAAAGACACTGGGCCAAGCTCAGGCAGCCTGCCTCTGGGGACTGACTTCTGCCTGTTGGGCTTTGTCCCGTGGTTCATAAGCAGGTGTGGGGCGTGGAGTAGCTACCTGTTATCTATTGACTGACCGGCTGTCCCCACCTGCAGCTTCTACTTCCCACCTCTCCTAGCTGTGCCACTCTGTCACCAGGAAGGCCCTGCTCTGTCCCTCAAACCTTTTCACATACCCCCCCCCACCCCCGACACAGGCAGGCGCCACCTCTCTTGCCCCGTCATCCAAACCAGAAGAAGCATCTCTCCCCAAGCTTCCCTGCCACCTCCTGCCCAGCACAGGCCGCCATCTGTTGTCCCTTGTCCTCCTCACAGCCTCCATGTTCCCCGCAAGGCTGTGTCCAGGCCCTTGCACAGCGTTCTGTGCTCAGTCATATTTGCCGAATGAACGATTTCCACTTGGCCCTGCCTCCCACTTCCCATTTCTGAGGTTTTTTTGCTCAAATTATCCTCAGCGACCAAATTCCACCCTCACCCTCACTTTGTAGCGTGACAGAGCGAACAGGCCAGTGAAAGCCGCCTCTGGGCTCCGTGGAGTCGTGTTCGAGTTCACATTTTACTTATGGTCATTTTTAGCCAGAAGTTCCTCTTCTTTCTAATTGTATTAGCACGTCTCTGCTCTCATGATGAACTAGGTGGGTAAAAGGAATTCATCAAGGAGAAAACACTCAAGTTTTACCAGACTGCTGCGAAGCCTAACACCAACGAAAATTGCACTGAAGGCAAAGGATCTTTCAAGCCGAAATGAAAACTGCAGCCAACCTGTCTGATTTGCCTTCCCCATCAGTTCATTTTGAAATCTCTCAGTGAAGCCACGTGGAACAAAATAAAGACAAGATAAAGACACAGAGGAGGATAAACCTTTTTATTTAATGAAAGCACATCCTATGAAACTTTAAAAAGCAAAAAGCATTGCACGCAACACAGAAACATTCTCATTTCCTCTAAGCTTATTTATTTCCGGGCAAAACATATTGTTTCAACTCCCAGGCTTAAGGAAAATAATCTTCAATATAAGAAGTCGTGGAGGAAAGTCACGGAGCCGTCGTACTCAAACCAAATGCTCATTCCACACTCCTTATCAAAGAGCCCCAGACAATGCAGCCACCAAACACCCCCTGCGAGCAGGAACCGTACGCTTGCTGACAAGGCTGAACCAAAGCCAGACTCCAACCGTCCCACAGCCAGTACAGGATCCCAGCACGTCCACACAGAAAGGAAACACCGGCAGGAGAGGTCTTATATTTGACACCCATGGCAGACATGAATGATGCCGTTTGGGTCCAAACGTGTTAATTTGCCAGCAGTTAGCAACACTGAACAATTATGCGAATCCCCTATGCAAGCAAAATCCAGGCTTCTCAAAGGTTCTCGCTCAGAATTGCCCCCCAGATAAACATGTACAACATCTAAAAACATAAGACACACACAGCACCAAGAATTTTTTAAACCACTTAGGAACATCCCTCTGTTTTATAAATGGCTGGGAGAGCAGTAAATGCCAGTTAGAAGGCGGGGTGATGATGGCCTCCCAAAGAAAGTGTGGGAGCTGCCTCCGGCGGGGCCACGCGAACGGGCAGGTGCCGGCGGGGCAAAGGGGCTTTGCATCCAGCCCTGACGTCCCTTTGCGGCCAGCACACCTGCAGCCTGTAATCACTCATCCACACCTGTCTTCCCGACTGACACGTGCCCCACAAGAGCTGGGGCCAGGTCTGTGCCAGTCCCTGGGACAGGCTCACCTGCCTACAGCACAGTGGCACGCAGTAAGTTCGTGAAGAAATGAATAAGGAAGTAAAATTGTACACACACACACACACACACACACACACACACACACACATACACATACACGATAGGTATATGCATATATAATGTACATTTTGTTCATGTCAACGGACAGGAAGTACACAAAGATACCAAGCCTCCCGTCTCTCTGGGGCACCCACAACAGCAGACGAGGTAAGCGGTGACGGCCTTACTACAGCTTTGCCGTCTGAGCACACCCGTCACCACTAAGACAGCGTTCTGTCCATTTCCGTGGGAAAACGCGCTGAGTTGATGCCAGGGACAAACATGACGGCCATCGTATTCCCACAACGGACCTCTGATCGTACCCAGCTCTTTCGTTTGGTCGCTGATGAAAGCAACAGGTAATCCACGTACATCATGAGCACCTGTGCTTTCTTGGACCCCTCAGCATCAATTTCGCCTCTTCCCACCAGAGCCCCGCTTCCTTTGGGGCTCTCCCTTCCCCCTCTGGACGTGGTCTGGGATCGGGTGCCTGGACCTGGACAGAAGGGTCCGGAGACAGAGAGATGGGGGAGGGTGTTTTCCCAGGCATGCTGCTTGGGGCAAAGCGTTCCCGGCTAAGATTTCCGGCGCCGGAGGTTTCTTGGTTCCTGCCTCGGTGCCAGCCTGGCCTTTACCCTCCCTGGGCAATTCTCTTAGCAGCTCTTGCAACCTTCCAACAAACGTCTTGTGCTGAAGTTGGGCTGATGCTTGCAGCCACGGGGCACTGACTGAGCCATGCAGCTCTCTCCTCAGTGGGGTCTCTCCGTGGGGAGATGGACGTGAGGAAATAACTGCTGCGTACACCGCAATTACCCGCTAATAGCAAGCTGCGCTTTGTCAAGGCGTATTAACTAACCAAGTCGATGCAATGTTGTGCTAAGAGGCGCCGCAACTGACCTGGAAAAGCGGCAGCCCTCCGAAAGTGTGTAATTTACCTAAAGAGTTGATTCAGTCATTGAGCTGTGCAGGTAACAAAGGCAGCGAAGAAGAGTGTACTCACATCAGCTGTCAAAGATAATGGTAGTACTTGGGGCGTTTCATCTGCTGGAAGAGCTAGCCATTAAAATACGGATTTTAATATGTCCCGAGATTCGACCTCTGACCCACTTCTCAAATCCGTTTCCAGATTATCAGCATATTAACCCGGGACGCTGTAGTACAGGTTCAAATTCAAGTGTAAAATGGTTTTAGTCTCCTGCTAGTTCTATATTTAGACACGGTGGTGAATTGAACCCTTAACTCTGAAAATTGATAGATGTTTGGAAATCTGATCATGACGACGGCGGGGAGCTGGGTTGGAACTGAGTGGTCAGGAGAAACAGACCCGACAAGAGCACGTCTGAGCCAGAACATGATCGGGGGACAGAGTTTTGCTGAGGAAACGGCCGACGCATTGGGCTTATGGGGGGACACGGTTAGAGGACACACACACATCGTCCAGCGGAGCCAAGTCCGTGTTCTCCAAACTTCAGATTATGGAGCTAATCGTGAAATCAGTTTTGGGGTTAAAAACAAGCTTTTCTAAAATGACATAGAATAGAACGGAATAGAATAGCACAGCATAGCAAAGCCTGGCATAAAACAGGTTTTTATTTTTTTATTTTTTAATGTTAGTGTGTGAACAGCATGAGGTTAAGTAGAGTTGTTTGATAAAGCATCTTTGTGTGTGTGTGTGTGTGTGTGTGTGTGTCACTGTGCCGACTTGGCTCTGGCAGCTCACAAGAGCCAGCTATGCACACCCACATACCTGACCATGGTAAAAGATTACACCATGGAAATAGGCACATAGGGCTTTTAGAAAACAGGGCTTCCCTCCCTGGTCCCCAGAGAGCGGCTGTGAACACTCACCAGGATGCCACCCCGCATGGCTGGAAAGCAAACACACACATATGACTTACAGGCACGAGCCTGCCTGAGTCGTGGGAGGCTCTGATGTGTGCCTGCGTGTATCCGTTTCAAACCTTCTCTGGGGCAGAGGGAAATAAGGCGCACACACACTGTGTGAAGGCGTCTGGGGCTCACTGGATTCAATGCTGCCATTAGGAATTTAGAAACATTCTTCTGTCTGCTGAGATGACATCTAGGTTTCGGGGGGGGGTGGCTTTTGTTTTCTCCTTAGATTTGATGAAGACCTTTGATGAGGTGGGGAATTGCTATGGCCTGAATGTCTGTGTCCCCCCCCCCCGCGCCCCAAGTTCCTGTGCTGGAATCCTAACCCCCACGGTGATGACACTAGGAGGTGGGGCCTTCGGGAGGCTGAGCAGAAGGCTGCGTTACTTACTGCAGCACATTCAGATCTGGAATCTCAGTCTCTCCTGCGAACGGAGCACAGGTGACCAGATCCCAGGAAAGCTCGGCTGAGCATGAAGGTGGCACAGTGCCACGTGCTGATCACTGGTTGGCTAGGTGGCGAATGTTCCCCAGAGGACGCATTTCCTGTTTCCTGCAGGGGCTTTCATGATGGGCAGTGGATGCCTTTGGAAGAAGCACTTTAGAAAAATCAGTAATTCGCGGCAGTGAACTGAAGGTCTCGGGACCCTCGGATTGTGACCATCACAGCAGGTCGGGGTCCCCACACCGGGGCTCCCTGTCCTGGCTATTTTCTCTCATCACTTTGAGTCCTGGCTCCACACAAGCAAACCAGCAGCTGGAGAGCCATTGCCCAAACTTCACTATTTGCGCCCATTTTCAGTGTGTCATATCTGCATGCCATCTGTACCTCTGCTTATTTGATACTTTTCATCAAATGAACTAAGTTTATTTTTAAAGGAAATGTTCAAAATTGGAAAGCCAGTGTCACGTGCTACGTGCCGTAAACAAAATACAGCCATAAAAATGAAAACAATGAAAAAGAAAGCCCCGTGAACTCAATTCTTTCTAGACCCCTGTTGTTGTAAGCCCAGGACTCTGAGCGTGGGGCCTTCTCACCTGGTTAGCAAGAACTTTAGCACCAAACTGAAACTTTCCTTCAACAAATGCTCTTCAAACAGAGGGATGGAAAGAGAATTAAAATAGTAATAATAACAACTTTGCCACTAGAGGACTTAACACTAATTAGTGTAAAAGGAGTTATCTTGTTATCACCAAAAGGCTGGCACTGCGTGTGTGTGTGTGTGTGTGTGTGTGTGTGTGTGTGTGTGTGTGTAGACTGAGGGGTGCTTTGTTCTCCTTGATCGCCTATGTGTCCACAGAGATTCTAGCCCTAGATATGTTTCTGGGTTTGGGGGCCTCTTTCTAGGTAAATGGACCATTTCCAAAGGGCTTTTAGAATACTGAGAAAAGTGTGGGCCCCCACTGCGTGCTCTGTGGGTCCCCAGGGAACTAGAAAACCTACATAAGGAGAATTACAGAACACACGAGACTCTGGGTTGTGTAGAAGTCCGCTCACACCTGTCATGTGAAGTGACACAGTGAAGTCACGCAGCGTGCAAAGGGAAGAAACAGGTCGCCCACAGGGGTGCACTGTGCGACCCTGGAGAGGGACACTAGGAAGAGAGGGAGGTGTCACTGCCATGTTCCATCTCATCAGCTGGAAGCGCTACGTGCATTTTGTTGTCCAAACTGCTTGGACTAAATCAGAGTTCACGTTCATGAGATGACCAATGTCGACACAGACTCTCCGAGCCCTGAGCCCTCAGACCTGAGTGGGGAACAGAGCATGCGCTAAGAGGGCGAGTGGGAGCCCTGGAGTGCTGTGGCATGAGAAGCAGGACCTCCAGGCCCTTCAGTGGGTCTTGGTTCCCTGGGCGCCAGGTATGGGCTTTTCCCCACACGGAGTGTGTCTTCTGCTGACAGACACTAATTTTCCATCCCACTGTAAGTTGATTCCAGAATTGGGGCCCCCGTGAAAAAAAACCGCTCTGTGTTTGCTGAGCAGCTCAGGGGCGTTTCAGAGACAAAGTGGACCACGTGTCAGGTCTGCCTTCTGCGCGATTTAGACCAGCGTTCTCTCTCTACTACTCCTCTGTGTTTCTGTAGGAACTCACTCATTCTCCTTTGCAGCAATAAAGTACAGTAATACCTTGGTTTGTGAGCATAATTCCTTCTGGAAACCAACAACTCGTATTGCTAGACATCGCTCGTTTACCATGTTAAAATGGATTAGAAATGTTTGCTCGTCTTGCAGAACACTCGCAAACCGAGTCACTCGCAATCCAAGGTTTTACTGTAATCTTAAAGATGTATAAAGCCTTGTGACCTTTAACCTTGGTCTGGTCTTCATTTTTTTAAAGGCAGGCAGACATTATTTACTTAAAAAGGACAAAATAATTTGGTTAGAAGAGTAACGTAAACTAATTTTAGAAAATACATAAAAAGCATAAGGAAGACAACAGAAATAGATAAATGCTGTCATGTCAACTTACTTCAGGACCTATGATCACCATGTAAACGTTGGGTTCTTCTTGATGCCATTCTTGGGGAGAAAAAAAAGGGAAAAAAAGCTTTTAAAATGGCTATAACGCACAGCTGACAACATAATTACACTACAATATAAATTATTTCCTATCTGTTTTCTTTCATACTAGTCAATTTGAGTTACATGTATTTAAAATGTAAATATTTGACATTTTTCACTTTGGGGCAAATTGTTATTTTTCTAGAACATTACGCATTACCCAGATATCTAAATTATTAGATAACTAACTAGCAGCGCCATGCCACCCAAGCTCAGTAATATACTGAAGCACGTACAGATCAACTTCAGCAGCATGGCCCCACGCGCATCGTACAGACTGACAAATGGAAAAACATTTTCAGGTAAAATATTTAGCCATATATATATATATATATTGGCTACTTTTTATGATTTCCTCAAAGCCGAGGGCACAGGAATGTAGAACACAGCAGAAGTTATGACTCAGAACCATTATTTTTCTGGCTGTTCCCAGTGTAATCTAGAAACCGGTGTGTGACTGCCCAGAGAATGAGAAGATAAAGCTCCAAGCCCTCATGAGAGCGGGCTGAGACGGGGGCCCAGGGGATCCTGAGCAGGCGGACTGCCAGACCTACCTGCGAAGGCGTCCACTAAGTACAGCGGGTCTTTAACTTGTCTGAGTCCACAGATCAGGAGAAACACGTGTAAGTTATCAGTGCTTTGCTTGATCTCTGCAACAGAAGACATTTTATCAGCGGAGAGGACTCGGCCTGATGACGCGGCAACCATGACCCCCACGGACAGCCCGGAAGCTCCAGGCTCTGCGTCCCCATCGGCTGTCCCCACCCCCAACCGTTAATTCATGTCATGAGGGAACTGGCTTTTCTCATGGTCAGTAAGCCTGAGCTGAGCTCAGACGTATGAGTGAGCCCAGCACACTCAGGTGCAGGGAGGATGAACCTGGTCCCAACAGCGGCGAAATCCACGAGAAGTTACTTGGCGGTGGCTTTAAGCCACTGTGTGATGGGGTGGCTTGTTATGCAGAAATAGATCATTGAGTCAATAGAAATTGGTAATGCAATTAACACAGGCTGACCTAAAGCTTCATCATTTGCAAACTAATGTAAATGGGCATAAAAGTCATGCAGTAAAAGGTTTTCATTCATTCATTCCGTTTCATTCCTCCATTGCTTAATGCAAACAGTGTCCTTTTGTATGTCTTGAATAGGAATATATTAGTCATTGACAGCACTTTAACACAATCACATAAAGCTAAATAATAATAATAATAATAATAATAATAATAATGCACAACCAGCTCTGGAGAAAGCCTCTACTGACATGTCAAGATTCAGACGTGACCTCTTAGAAAAGCCTTAAAAAATTATCACAGCCTCTGAATTACCTGTGAACAATTTCACTGAGATATTTGAGTTTGTTTTGTTGTATGTCCCCAGTACTCTGAGTATCCTGAAACTAAAGTTAGAAATAGAAACTTTTGTGAGTGTTGTTTGACCCAAAGTTGAAGCTAGAATCTTCTGTGCAGAAGTCACATGTGAGGTCAGAGGAAGCTGAGGTCAGGCATTTGAATCTAGGTCAGGGGGCAGCGATTCTCTTTAATGATGAGAATACCCTTAAGGATAGGAAGGTCGGGTGTGAGAAAACAGTCAAACTTGTATTGCCAGGCAAGAACCATCCAAGGATGCTGAAACCAGTGAGGGAAAGTTTGATGAAACTAAAAAGCGTCTTTTCAAAAATTACGTATTAATTACAAAGGAAATAGAACACCTGTACATGGAGAAATCCAGGGGACACCCACTTAGGAAAACTTAGCCCAGTGCACGTGGGTTTGTGGTTACACCACACACACACACACACACACACACACACACATTTCACATATTTAAAAAAAAAAAACATAATGGGAGAAGCTGATGTGTCTCCAGACGTGACACACAGAGAAGGATGCCATAGCACTTCCAGCTACTCAAATATGTAAGAAGAAAGGAAGTCGCAGGAGACAAACCATGAAAGTCCCAGGAAGGGGGACAGCAGACACTCTATCACTGAATGGAGAAAAAGGAAATACAAGAACAAAACTAACCAGCCAGGATGGCACCCAGAGAAGGCATGCAAAGAAAACCCACGTGACGACCAGGCACAAAGACACCATTTGGTTCTTTATTTTTGCTATGCGACCAGGATAGATGTTGGAAACCTATCTTATCCCCTTATCCTGCTTTCGCACATCAGATCATTGTTAGCTGCTCAGAACTGCAGGTTCAGAAGACCAGGTGTCCTTTCTGTCAGGTAAAGCTGGAAAGAAGTGACCCACCTCCACCCCAGCACCCCTAGGACTGTCAGCCTGGAGAGGGAATGCTAATTTACAACACTGATCTTCAGAATGTTTTGATTATGACTTACGGTAACTCTGACTAATTTCAGGCTCATGATGGTCCTGGCCAGGTTTTAAAAACAAGGAAAAAAGGTTGGCCTGTGCAGGTCTGGAGGTGAGGCACGTACTGCCCTAAGTCTTTTGGTGGACTTTGTTTCCTCGTTTTAACCCCAAACTCATTTTTCTTATCTTTGCTTTTCCGCTAATGTCCAAGTTAAACATGAAAGAAGGTTTGAACGCATTGCTTGCAAACTCACGCATTTATGAATCTTCCCAACGTTACCACTTCCTGGAGAATGGTATTTTTTATCTTCCAAATAAAATGTGTCATTTTCATGGTCTGGCACCATATCGGTCTCAACACCACATTGCTTGATCCTGTAAGTGACTCATCAGCTGCCTCCTCAACAGAAATCCAATCCACGTTAAGCCACTTTCTGTCCCCTTTTTTCTATTCTAGCAGCTCTGTGTATTTTTCGCGTGTGTTATCATAAGGAGAAAAGAATTCGAGAACTTCAGATGAGTGTAGCAGACCTAGTGAATTTTAGCTGAAAGATAGGATTTGGGGGCTGGGAGAGCATAAAGGGATATAGTAACGTTAATTTTTCAGATGAAAAACAAATGAGTTTTCCTAGAAAGTAAAATGCTACCGTCTGAGGTAAGCATAGTAGAGTCTCCATATAGAAAAACAAATAAAGCTTAAAAAGAGAGAGAAAAAAAATTAAACACTAGAAATAGAAATAAAATGGAAAACAGAAAAACAGGGAAGTGTGGCCAGGTCAAATTTAAGCTTTCATAGTTTTGCGGTTTGATGACCTGCGAGGAATTAATACTTAGTATCTTGGTCACTGGCATTTAAGAAGAAAAATCACAGGGGCCGGCCAAGTGGCGCGTTGGTTAAGAGTTGGCTTGGGACGCCAGCTCTGAGCAGCAGGGCCCCAGTTCAGATCCCACATGAAGGCCAGTGACACTGCACCCTCTACAGCTAAGATGGTGAACAACAGCTCAACCTGGAGCTGGGTTGCCGTAAGTCACCGGCAACGACGCAGGCTGCAGTGGGCTGCCGTGAGCTACCGTGAGTGGCTGGAAGCCAGCATGAGCAGCTGACCAATGGCCAGCGACCGATCTGCCTCACCTGGGAAGAGCACAAATATAATACCAACATAGGCCAGTGAAGCGACGTCCTCCACAACTAGACTGAAGAACAAAAAGACAGCAACTTGTCTGTTCCCCTTCCCCGATTTCCCAATGCTGTTGCCCTCCCCCAATTCCCCAATAAAATCTTTTTTAAAAAAAAGAACAAAAATCACAGATCACTGAACCATAGCCACATTGAAGGCGTACACAGAAATGCTCGGAAAACCTCCCAGACCAGGTGAGTAACTTCAGGTGCATGCCAGACCTTCTGATCAGAATAGCTATTGTAAACATCGCATGAAAAATTAACAGCTGTGCCACTTAGGGCATTTTACCTACTCTGTTCTTTATTTGTTCCTTGTGGATGTGTTCGAACATGGCACCTGGTTAGCATAAAAACTGTCTAATGCTGAATGCTGAGGATACAGCCATTTGTTAGCTAGGGCGTGTGTGACACACTGCAAGAAAGAATGCTTCATAAACTTGACATCAGATATTTCAGAAGCAAGCTGTAAACCTCGGTGACTGATCAGCTACCCGCCTTCTTACATGCAGTGTTCAGTGGTACCCCTCGCAAACCTCTGCCCTCGATTTCAAGGTTAACAGTTCCTAAGAATTCAGAGGGGGTTTGATGGCTAAGCGTCTGTGTTAAATTCACTGCATCTTCTGCTGTCACCGCCTGAGGCTTGAAGGGAAGCGACAAATCACAACCACAGTTTCAAGCACTCAGGGGACAGGGTGAGATGGAGGACAGGGGACGGCGGTGGCCCAGCTCTGGAGTCTGGAAGACGACAGAGCCGGACGGCCATGCAAATGAGAACAGATGATGATCGTAAAACCCAGAGACACCGATCGATCCTGGTACATCGTACCCTTACGCCATTCTCCAGCCCCGTCACAGCCCACGATCCCCTGTGCCCTGTACGTTCTGCATGTGTTCACACCTTCTAATTGCCCACATTACAATTAACGTGCAGCCAAGTAGGTCTCTGAGGGGGACGTTTTCTAAGGAGCCTTTCACGTCTCTCAAGCTGTTCCGTGAATCAATAAGGCCAATGAGATGACGAATTCAATAACAGATCCTCCTGCTTTTGGAAATTGTGAATCTTAGTTACGCTGCAACTGGGTCCTGTGATGGACAGATGATGAGATCACCTCACAGCAGGCAGTTTAAGATAGGCCCACTGGCTCTGAACGATGGCACACATGACCCAACAAGAGGAAGCAGGCAGACAGTGTGGGTTCATTTGTGGAGCTGAGAACAGCTCAGCTCTTGTCACTGAGACTGACGAACACACTCGGAGATTATTTCTAATAAAATGCTGGGACATTTTTTTGTTTTTCTTTCCAAGGGAGCCTAATGCTGACATACAGTATGTGGTGGAGGTTTTGTTTGAAGGTTTTGGTGTGGAAACTGGCTTGCAGCGGCGCCCTGACGTTCGCTGAGGGCAAGACACTGAGTTTGCTTTTTCAGAGTCTTCCCTGGAGTTCACGGCAGGACCTGAAACTTCAGCTCCCCCCTTCACTAGCCCCCCTAACTTGGGATCTCTCAGGAGAAACATTTCCGGCTAAAACAAGCACATGCTGGGCTTCTGGTTGCATTTGGCGGGCCAGTTTTAGCTGTCCTGGCACCTTGGCAGAATGACTGGGCTGGTCAGCCCTTAAGGCATTTGTCATCCCAAAGGGCAGACACTGGGGCCAGCTGAGTAGCTCAGTTGGTTAAGAGCTCGCTCAAGAGTTTGAGCTCTGAGCAATAGCGGTTCGAGTCCAGCCCGAGCTGAGCAGCCGCTNTCCAGCCCGAGCTGAGCAGCCGCTGAGCTGCCAACAGGTAGCAGGATGGCTCAGCTAAAAAAAAAAAACAAAAAAAAAAAACAAAAAAACAAAGGGCAGACACTTAGGGGCCTCATGTGTGGACAACTAGACTTTCTATCCCAGAAGATGCTGCACAAAAACCATCTTTTTGTGTAAACATCGTGACCGTGCTTAGATGGTACTACGCACAGAAACACAGCAGTGAGGCCCTCTATGCCCCACTGCATGTAGGGAAAGTAATACCATCAAGCATCTGATCATGTGAGGTGTGTGAAAGCTCTGATTAGGTGCCGACTCAACTCAGGGGTTCTGTGTTAAGGACTCTCTCCTAAGGAAGCAATGGGGCAGACACAGGAAGGTCCAATCCCAGCAGCTGTAAAACCTCTGAACATCCAACAACGGGAGCTGGCCAAATAAGTGTACAGAAGCCACATTAATACAATGAAGGAATTAAAAGTCGTGATGTAATTAGAGCTAATAGATAAATTGACAAAATATGGCAGAATATAGTGTCAATGTACACAAACCCAGTTTCTTTCTATATATTAGCAACAAACAACTCAACAATGAAACTTAAAGACATTTATAATAGCATCAAAATAATAAAATCCTTAAAAATAAATATAGATATAATTATATATTAGATATAAAATAATTGTAATTCTATAATTTTATATAAAAATATATTACGTTACAAATACATTTAGTTTAAAGACAAGAATGTAATAGCTATAATATAGCTATACTATCAGTATTATATATAAATACATAAAAATCATTATATGTGACATTGTTAAGAGCACATCAAAATGTTAATAGCAGTTCCTTTTAGTGCTGAGATTTCAAGTGGCTTAAATTTTTGTTTCTCTGCTCTCCATTTTCCCGCTTTCTTACAATGGTCATTTATGACGTGCGTAACTAATAAAGTAGTAGGAAATGAACCCAGGAGGGTGGCATCCTTAAAAGATCGACTGTCACATCCTCTCCCTCCCGCCCTCCAGCTGGCATTTCCTTTCAAGGACGAGGCCCTGACGGTGCCTCCGGCCTTGCCTTGCCCCAGCTCCTGCGACCCCCTGGTCCTGGTATCCTGAACCAGTGAATGTCTTCGACCCCACAGACTCTTTTCCAAAACCACTTGCGCGTCAGGAGTATCTGACCCTGGCTGGACAAGGTGCTGTCAGTCAAAGCCCCACCAAAAGCCGCCTTCTCTCACCTGCGCGTTGAAGAAAGGTGTTCCAGCTAAAGGTGGTGTTCGGTGCTGTTGCGATGCCTAGATCAAAGGAAAGAGAAGGGAGTACACGCTGCTGACACCGAGCCAGCAATTCCATGTCACACGCGGTCCTCATAAAGCCACTCGGCGTTCTCAGTGCCTCCCAAACGCCTGTTAATCCCTCCACCACTGAGGTTTAAAGCCCGATGAGAAAAGGCCCACGCCCTTCAACCCCACCAGCCATGCCTGGGCCCGGCTGCCTTAAGGTCCTAGAAAGCCTGCGTTCCTTAGAAATGCATGTCAGTAAGAGGTTTTGAAAACATTAGCACCTAAACTCAGCCCCAGGTAGAAACGATGTCTTTATTTTAAAGTTCCTCATCTCAGTCCTCTGCAAATCATACAGGATTGCCTGCTGTCCGTGTCATGTCCTCAGACAGATTTGTTTTAAATTCTCTGAACACTCGGGACATTCTTAAGATACAAAAAACTCAGTGACAACATTTAACAGATTGTCTTGGGCGCAGAAAAAAGCTTGCAATTTCGTGAAATGTAAATTTAAGTCGCCTCGGGGAAGGGGTGTCCTACACCATCCTGGAAACCCTAACCCCTGCTGAGCAGGCTGATGCCTCCAGTCCATCCCGCTGGAAACAGGTTCAGAGAGCTTACACAGCATTCAAAACGCTAGTGGGCGTCAGGGGGTGCGTTCACACCCACGGGGAGGTGCCAGTCCCCTCCTGCCCTGACATGTGCACGCACCTTTCGTGCTCACAGAGCCAGCGCATCATTTTTAAGGCTTGGGCTCCGAGGGTTAAAGGGTTTGTCTGATAAGTGATTCTGCTGCTGTGGGCATCACTGAAACCACCAGAGAACGGGTCCGGCGGGCGTGTGCGTGCAGCAAGGTGGGCCTGAGGGGGCTGTGCCCCTAGGTGGTCAGCACCATGGAAAGCTCCCCACGGGGCCTGAACTCTGACCCTGGCCCCCGCACCTGCTCTAACCTCAGTCTGGAATCAGTGATACGAGTTATGTTCTTCCCAGGACCTGCTCAGTCCGTGATTCCCATCGGGCAGTACAGCCGTTTACTGGCTGTGTGTAGGAGATCCCAAGGGGTTGGGGAAGGGATGTCCGAGGCCAGTGTCGGGCCAGGACCTGGTGAGGCAGGAAGGGATGCACGGGGGGCAGAGGCATGCCAGGTCTTCCCAGTGCAACCTACACAGGGAAGTTCACCCTTCTCTTTTGTTAAACACACCACTGACAGAGTACATTGCATTTCACTGGTCGAAACGTTAAGTGATCTGCACTTGAAATTGCTCTTTCATAATGTTCTGTTTATTTCTAGTTTAATGTTAGAAAATAATAAAAGTGTATCCATTCTACGAACCATTTTAAGTAAATCTCATATTACTTCACCCACACACATTTCAGTACGTGTCTCTAGAAGATAAGGACTCAATTTTTTTTTTTCAAATATATTTAAAATTCTTACCTTGGCTCTGGACATAGATTTTACCCTGAGCATGCGGCTTTTGAAAAGAAGGGAGAAACAAAAGTCAATTTGATAGATGGTTACAACTGCTTCATAGAAATAAAATAAAAGCCATAAAAAAGTCCTCTTGGAAAACATCACATAGCATCAACTATACAGCTGCTCGCAGATGAATTACTTTATAGGAGCGAAGAGTTACCCTCTGCTTTTAATGGGGGTTAGCCCATTAAAAATACAGCATCTATCAGGTGAGAAGCACAGAGAAAGAAGTCCCCTATATTAGGCGTAATACAAGTTTAGAGTTTTATAGTTACTATGTTAGTACAACGTTATTGAAGCTCAGGCGAGAACATGCCAGTGACAGAGCCCATCTGGTGCATACTGTGTGCTAAAGCCGAAGGAAGGCATTTGGGGACACATGTTTTGAAATACACATCCTTGAATGGAACGAGTATGCTCCCTCACCTTTGGAGAAGAAAAGAGTGGGAAAGTAGAATGGGGAGAAGATAGAGGTGCAGATGGAGGAGGAGATGGAGATAGAGGAGATGGAGATGGAGGTGGAGGAGATGGAGATGGAGGAGATGGAGGAGGAGGTGGAGATGGAGATGGAGGTGGAGATGGAGATGGAGGAGGAGGAGGAGGAGGAGGAGGAGGAGGAGATGGAGATGGAGATGGAGGAGGAGATGGAGATGGAGATGGAGAAGAGTATCCAAGATGTGGGGAAACAAGAAAGCAGGCACTGAGGCGGGGGGCAGACTCTTCCAGGCAGGTGAGTAGACTCTGTAAGGACTGAAGGACCCTGTAACGACCTCCCCGAATGCCTCTCTGACATCAAGGGAATGGGTGGCTCTCACACAACTGATCCAGATATTTGTACCAAGATAGAAACTTACTATTCCTGCTGGTGTTTTCTGGTGGAACGTCACAAAAGTACTAGAGAGAAAAAGAATCCATGTCTCGAGTTCATTTCGACACAGTGGCATAAACGTTTTTAAAATCAAGTTTAGAGACAAGGCGGAAGTACCAGGTGTAGAGTAAGGAGCCACGTTTCAGTGGCCGCAGGGTCAAGTAGGTGCAGATGGATATTTCTCACAGGTAATCAAAGGATAGAGTCATTTTCGTGAAAAAGTCCAAAAAAGGTGCACCTATGTGTCACATGGCTGAAATATCCGATCAGTACACGGAACGTCTAACTAGCCAGTGCATGGTGATTATATGCTTTCCCTTGAATGTGTGTGGAAGGGCGCCCTGTGGTCCTCACGGTGACGGGGAGCCCATGGTGCTACGTGTGGCCTGCTGATCACCTCAACCTTCATCCTCAAATCAGTTTCATGTTTTGGGAAACAAGCCATCCCGCCAAGGGAGAGACGATCGAAGGGAAGAAGAGGTGGTGGCCCTGCCCTCGGCCTGGCTGATGGAAGGTTCTGGAAGGGGCGGCATCCCGCCAGCTCGGGGCAGCTGAGTGGAAACCGGTACATAGGCACGGTCTCAACTTGGACTTACGTTGTATATGTCACCATTGGAAATTGGAAATTGAAGTTCAGAACCCTGAAACACACCTTTTGTTTTAATTATAATTTCCCTGGAAACCTGAAGAAAATTTTATTGTGGGTCGCGGAGGCTGAGGGCACCTTTACCCTAACAGGCCCCGAGTCGGAAGCATTGGCCTGGAAACTGCCCGTAAGAAGGATGGTGACGAGTGCCAAAAAGCCATCGGCGTGGCACCTTAACTTGGACGTTAACACACGCGTCTGACAAAAACAGATTCAATCTAATCCTACGTAAATGTGACTTATGAACGTAAGGCTTCATAGGGTTTTGGTCTCGCCACTGCTGTCATTAGAAACATGCTCTGTAATTAGAACTACGTAAATCCAAAGTGCTCCTTTCAAGATTTCTTTTACACAAACAAGAATTAACTGAACTGGTGGCTTAACTCTCTAAGCAGAATTAATTGACTCTATGTGGAAACGGCAGGATTCAACTTGACAAATCCCCGAGCACGATTTCTGTAAAATCTATTGAAAGCCTGAAAAGCAAGTATCAAGTCCTCCACAGACTTTTAAAACATGTCGTAAATGGCATTTTAAGTTCCCATCTGAGCAAATCAAGAAAATAGAGTTACAGTATGAAAGGACTCTGGACCAGGGCTATTTTTAATCATCGTAATAAAAGAAATCTGGCAAAGGGAAATTGGTTGATATTGATTTTTGAAAAAACATTTTCTGTATTAAAATGTTCTAAATACAAATTAGCTTTCTTTGCTCAATATTTACTGTTGTTTCACTTGCCTTGAAATAATATAAAAGTCAAATATTCCTTTTGCAAGATTAGCTCACCGATGCATAAAATGGAAAAGGCCATGCGTGTGTGTGTGTGTGTGTGTGTAGGGGTGGGAAGGGAGGAGTCTTCATTTGTAATGTCTGTGAGAAACCATTACTTAACTTGACCCATCACTAGATTAAAACAGCGAGGGTCCTATGGGGTGGACACCTATAAATACAGTGTGTGACTTTGTAACCGACCCGGAAGCTAACGTATGCTGCTTCATAATGGAATAACAGCCAGTCGGCAACAACAAAAAGATGTCCCACCCTTCGATGAATATAACCTTCTGAAATTAAACTTTCTGCTAGTGAAAACCACAACAGCTATTATTTTTGGAAATCTATGCAATTTCATGCTCTACAGGTAGCCAAAAAAAAACATTAGCTTTTTTTATTTTGAAATTACAACTTTGGGGAATGGTTTCATTAAAAAGTACTTTTGGGCCGGCCGAGTGGCGCGATGGTTAAGAACTCGCTTGGGACGCCAGAAGGCCCCAGTTCGGATCCCACATATGAGGGCCGGTGACGCTGCCCTCTACAGCTAAGATGCTGACCAACAGCTCAACCTGGAGCTGGGCTGCCGTGAGTCGCCGGCGATGGCGTAGGCTGCAGTCCCTGTGGCAGTGGGTTGCCATGGGCTACCGTATGTAGCCAGCAGCCACAGTGAGCGGCCGTCCAGAAGCCGGTGACTGATCTGCCTCGCCCGGAAAGAGCGCAATGATGGTGCCAACTTAGGCCAGTGAAGCAACATCCTCCACAACTAGACTGAAGAACAAAACGACAGCAACTTGTCTGTTCCCCTTCCCCCAATTCCCCAGCACTGTTCCCATCCCCCCAATTCCCCAATAAAAATCTTAAAAAAAAAATAGTACTTTTAAAATAGTTGCAAGCGGCTTCAGGGAGATCATGGCTCGCACATGAACAGCTCTCCAATTATACCTACGTCACAAAAACACGTAAATATTCAGGGAACACAGGTCTCCTTTTTTCAACGCTATTCTTTTCCTTTAGAAATCTGCTTTTGAGCAAGGAAAGAAAATAGTGGTCTAAAAAAAAAAAAACACCCATGAGCGGCATGTTCTTTTCACTCAACTCCCACAACTGAACTAGACAGAGAAAGATTTTTCAAAAAAAGAAAACACCCATGAATGAGATGAGGAGGAGATCTGAGAACTGAACTGGGGTCCACGCCTGTGGGTATACATGGGGCAGACCTCAGAAATGAGACGAAAACAGCCCATGACCCTGCGCACAATCACAGGGTGACAGTCTGACGCCTGCTCAGGTCCGGACAGTGCCCAGGAAGCTACATCTGGGGAGCAAACAACTCGGATTATTGCAGATTATTCAGAGGCATCCCCTACATTTCTCTGCCTTTGAGACTTGAAGAATTAGAAGCAATGCCTCTGATCAGCCCCAACGTGCAAGCCCCGGGTCAGGTAAAAGATAAACTTGACTTCTAGGCCCTGGCACTGATGAGGTTTCCATCCTTTGAGTTATTTTAAAACGTTTCAGTTCCCAGGGCTCTCATATGGGGTTTGGGGGGGACGGGGTGCAAAGAACAGTCGCCTTCCCATCGAGACATCTGAGGAGAGCCAATCTTAACGGAAGTTACTAAAAATGATTAGCGTCCTGGGATACGATCAGTCCCGGGGTTTCTCCTGCTGACCATTTGCGGGGAGGGCCAGCCTACAAGCTAGAGTCGAAAGATGAAACCAATGAGAGGAACGCTTTTCAGGTTTCATTGCTTTAGAATTATCATCAAAGATGTGGTCCGTGTCGCTGCTGCCAACATGATTTTCGGATAGTCAGACACGCAGCAGCGGAGCATGTGGGAAAAAGGGGCAGTGGTCAGCAGATCACAGGACAGCATGCATCCACTAGACACGCAGCCGTTAGTCGCTAAGCAGCTCACGGACATCAGGTCTGCACTAGCACCCACCATGACTTTCCAGCTCACCTGTGCCACGACCTGCGCAGGTGACGGCCAATGAAACCTGTCTTGCTTTCTGTGTTTTAATTTCCAAAAGCCTTTTGATGAGCACGTGCACACACTGAACACGCAATTACCCTGTGGGTGCTGCCTCCCACAACTGCTCCAAAAAAGTGATTTTTCTTTAGCAAGTGCCAAGGCAAGGCAGGTAAAGTAGGCCCCAGAAGGTGGTGACTCAGAGTTTCCACATTAAAAGCAAACCGAAAAAAATCGCTGAGAAGCACCCCCACCAGGCGGCTGGCTCAGAGCTAACCTCAGAAAACCGTGCTGCAGTGCCATTTGGGGCATGGTGCTGTCATGCATCAGATAACCGCACCAAGCAGTTTTATTTACACTCAAGACTTTCTAAAAATAGTTCATAAATATCGGAATTCAGAGAAAGTCCTCTTATCAGAATGCCATCAGAAAAAGCGTGCCAACAGTGCAGTAAAAGCCCCGTAGGCCTGTGGGGTTTTGAACCCAGTGGAGACATATTAAACCATAATTGTTGCTTCTCCAGGGAGAAGAGCCTTCAGTGAAGATACACATCTCACTTATTCTTAATTTTTTGGTGAAATATGTACAGTTTCTGGTGAATGGCAAATTTAGAGGAAGCATTCTAAACGTGGACCACACCTGGAAGCACCCATGTTTGCATCCTGCATGTCTGTTACCTACGGTAATAGGAAATCAAAATTCCATACGGGCTACTTTTACATCCCACAAAGCCTCTATCAG